CGCTGCTCATGAAAAGAAACTGAGGCTAGAATTCACACAGGCTCATCAAAAGTGGACAATAGAAGAAATTGATACTGATTTAGTGATGGCTGCTTCTAGCAGGATAACACACCTTGTCTCGGAGCTCAAATGATCTCAAACTGGTTTCTTGTTGAATCTGTGCCACAACAAGTTAAGACAGCTCTGGAGACAACATCAGGTCCAAACTAATGCCAGTGGCTAATGAGTGTGTATGGACAAACATACTGGGTAACATCCACATCCCACCTACAGGAGCTGCTCAGCCATGAAAACCTATGCCACAAAGCTCCTGGCTCACTTTTGTGTCCTTATATTAATGCCAGACGACATTTCCCCAGCAACCACATGGTTGCACTTTGGGCACTGTGAACTGCCCATTGTGGGCCCCAGTATTGCTGTGAAATGTTGGGCAGACTGTTTGATCTGAGCAGCGTACCCACTGTATGCCCACACATCCAGTACTCCCACTGACTGGTACAGAGTGTGGACCAGAATGTTGTTTATGATTAAAGCTTCTTTTAGCCACTCCCACAGTTTCAATAGCAAAAGTGACCAATTAAATGTCTGAGAGGTAGAGGAACAGAAACCACAATATCTACTCTGCAGCCCTACAAAGTATGATCAAAGTTCATTCAAATCTTTTCCAGCTGTTGTGTTTGCAAACAGAATGAAGCACACGCTAACAAACACATCCGCTCTTTGATGGAGGTGACTATGATTCTTACAACTATAGTGTGTATTGATAACATATCAAAAGTATCCTATAAAGATATAAAATATCACGTCACATCTCTGCAAGATCAACAGATTGATCTTAAGTTCAATTCACTAATAATGCTATATAGAGCTATTTAAAACTATACAGTTTAATCTTTTACAAACCAGAAACAAATCATAAACATTTAAAATATTTTTTCTGAACAATGAAATGAATAAAACAAATGTACTATATCCCCATAAAAAAACAAACAATAACTCAAAATAGTGGTCAAGCATATTAAAATGTGCTTCAACAGGGCAGATAACAAAAGCCTGCACTCTGCACTTGTTTTCACGGCATTACAAACAAGGTGACATTTAAATTTCGCATGATTTTGTGAAATATGCAAAGCTTATTCTACACAAAAAACAAAACCATCAGCATGTTCACACAACTGTATAATCAACCAATCACATGGCAGCAGCTCAGTGCATTTAGGCACTTGACAAGATCCAGATCCAGATATAAAATATCATTAGAGTCCGTTTTTTTTGTTTTTGTTTATATATCATGTGGCGCAAATGGGAACCTGAAGTTTATTTCCGGTGCTGTGGTTAAAGAAAGTGAGCTCCACACTGGGAAAACACGTTATTTTTATCTGCATTTGAAAGAGCTGGACAGCTGTGCTGAATGAATGACATGACAAAGTATTTAAAAAATAAATCCACATGGCTGAAAACTTCCACGTGTTGCTCACTTTAACGCGACCACTCTGCTTGCTGAGTGAAGCTACATGCACATTTACATTCCCGTCTCTTACTCACCATCACGGACAGCCTGGTGACAGCACAAACTTTAACGGGGTTTTTAAAATATTCCGTGTCTGTGACAGCAGTGGACATGCAGGCTGGACGTGACCTCTCCCTGTGTTTCAAATCCACACGGTCAGCGCCGGTGTGTTTGTGTGAGGCGGTTGCTAGAGAGTAAATGTTTCTCACATGTTTTAATATGCATTCAGTTAATATAAAGCACATTTTTCTTAATGATTGATCACTTGAATAAATAAATAAAACTTTGTTTTAACTATTTTAGCTGCTTTTCACTCAAAATCATTACTTCATGTGAAGATTTTTTTTTTCAGTCCACCCCCAGTTTTTTTTCACATGTGTAAACACAACACTGGTTCCTCCCTTGAGTTAGGTGCATTTTATAACAAATTCTTTAGTAATCAATAGATCACTGTGAAGCAAAAAATGGAAGACAGTCTGGCCCCTTGGAATGAAAGTACAGATAAATGAGGGGTGGCTTTTTGCACAGAACTGCATTTTTTTTTTAACTATAAGAGAATTTATTAGAAAGAAAGTGTACTTTATTGATCCCTGTGGGGAAATTCCTCTCAACCCATTCACTCAGTGAAGCAGTGGGCAGCCATTGGGCGCCCAGGGAGCAGTGTGTAGGGATGGCACCTTGCTGAGGGGTACCTCAGGGTAGCTGTTCAGGGGAATCAAACCCCTGACATTCCAATCATGGGGCCACCACTCTACCTACTGAGCTATCCCTGACCCTAAAACGTTATCTAAAGGACTCTTTTAAGAATGGGATTATGAAACTTGTTTGTTACCCAGGAAACGCTTAAACAGCGGGTATGGCGATTGAACCCATAACCTTGTGTGTTATCAGCACCATATTCTAGTTATCTGACTCGTCTGAACTGAAGCCAGCTGTAGAGTTCAGCTGATGAGCTGTGCAGATAGAGGTTGATGCAGACATTTATATTCCTTGTCACCTGACACTGCTGTTATTGTTTTTAGGAAAGCCCGTGTTAGGTATAAAAGCACTTATGTGGAGTATTTCTGACTTCTTTTTTGCTATTTCTTGTTAATGAAGCCCAATTGGTAATAAGAAATGTGCTCAAGTGAACTCAGCTACTACATACCTGAGCTCACTCATGCACTTTAGTGGCCAGTATGGGGCTTGAACCCATGACCGTGGCTGTTTCAGCACCATGCTCTACCCACCTGAGCTAACCAACCTGCACGAAGAGTGGTCAAACAACAGTTTTTGTTTTCCAGGATTTCACTGAACAAAGACTAGTGGATCTATTCTGGACCTCCAATCAACTGAGACTACTAAAGATGCAAAACCAACATAAATATCCTTTAAGCCTTAGTTTTGTTTTCATTCACAGTTTCACGTCACATTTGTTGGACATGCTGCGCCAACTGATTTAGACAGGAGTCACAACCTCAAGAGCTGTAGCAGAAGGGCTGTAGCTACATCGTAAGGTTTTAAAAACTGAGGTATAAAACGTGCTGCCGATGAATAGTGGTAATAAAAACCGCGAGAGGCCAACAGTGATCACTGCCTTTTTTAAGGGGCTTGTTCAGATTAAATAGAACAAGATACAAAGCATTAAACATGATAAAACACAACAGCCTTAATAAAAGCAGAGTAATTTGGACCCGGAAGCAGGGTTCATACATCATCACTTAAAGACTGGATATCCCACCTTCTGTGAATGTTTTAATGCAGTACAGTTGTTATTATTAGCAGTTAAAATAAATAATATTCATATAAGAAATAAAATTGTCTCGTGTAAACTGTATATGGTGTTAAATAGGCCTATACTACTGTACTTTAATGTAGGTCATAAGGGTGGTACTTTAAGAGCCATATATTTTATGAGGTGGTGCTCGTTGTGAAAAGTTTGAGAACCACTGTTGTAGAGAGTGATAAATGAGAGAAAAGTGACACTATTTCAGATAGTGAATCACCAGGACTTCCAGCTGACGTCATCTGGCCTCTGTCCAGACTACGTTATCGAAGACCATGTGGCCTAATGGATAAGGCGTCTGACTTCGGATCAGAAGATTGAGGGTTCGAGTCCCTTCGTGGTTGGTTATGCGTTTGCTACAGAGAAATTCTAGTCTTATGTGTCGGTAAATGAGGGAAGGACCAGAAGCCAATCTACCATTACACATTAATGGCCGATTATAAATGAGGAACGCAGTTCGGGACTGATGTCTAATCAGCCTTACTGTTTCGTTGTTGTTGTTGTTTTCTTACAGAAAAATGAATTTCAAAAATATGCACATTAAAAAAATCAAAAATATAAAACTTGATAAAAGCTAATACGAAACATTTAAATTTCACTGTTATGAAGTATATTAAGTGTTTAACGGGTGCATGAAATAAAAAAAAATACTGGTAAATTTTAAGAGGCTGAGTTTTATTTATTTATTTATTTCGAGACTGGCGGAACCTTTTAAAAGCGCCGCTGTTTGTCGTCGGTGTTGGAATTCTTAACTGTCAACAGGAACCGACTGCGGAGCAGCAGCGTGTGTTGCATGTTGTTGCAAGCTTTAGTACGTTTAAAATACCGTTTTTCTCAGTGTCTCTATGTGTGTTAGGAGCTGTCGGGTTAGAATAACCGAACTTCACTTTAGCGCGTTTACAACTGTAGAGACACAAAAAATTAGCTTAACTTACACCTTGAGTACCAGACCTTGAAGTCTGTCAATTCAGAGCTAAAAGTGAAACATTTTGTAGTAAATTTGTTTCTAGTATCGTGTAGATTGTTGCCGAGTTAAAAAATTTGAACTATCGATGTAAACTGAAACTAAATATTCATTATATTTTATGAGAAACGTTGAAACCTAAAAAATGTTCGATTTTTAAATATAGTTTGGTTTTCTGGTCATTTGTTACTAGGTTATACGCTCAAAAGGGTGAGAAAAACCATGTCTATAATCCTTTTTATTTTATGAATACACCTAGCAACACACATTTCTTTTTAACACTCGTGTTCAGTGTCTTTATTTTTATATTTTTCTTCATGCTTCGTCTTTGAATTCTAACAATGATCGCTGCGTGTTTAAGTCTCTGGAAATGCTATGTTAATTATAATACAGGCTAGATGGTTACCGAGTTAAAAGAGTAGCTGCTACTCATGTGTGTATGCTCTAAAATAACACGATGACTCCTACCAGTATGTGATAAGGAGCAGTGGGATTTTAAATTCCTAATTTTTTGAACGGAGTTTGGAAGACACAACCGAGAAAACCGCTGGCATGTGCGTCCACCGTCCTTTCGGTGTAAACTGGTGTCATAAAGTGACTGATTTGGTGTTTTTGAGTTTTCTTAATGATCCTGAGTCAACCTCTGTGTTGTGTAGTGTGTTTCTAATGACTTACTGACGAGAAACACTCGACTTCCTTCCCCGAAAACAGGAGCTGCCACTGCGGTCTGAACCTCCTGCAGTGCTGTGATTATGCGGCCAGCTCTGCGTCTATAAAACGCGGCTTCAGCAGAGCTCAGCCCAGGCTTTTGGGGGCGCATTCCTCGGAGGTGAGTGATTAGAAAACATTTTTGATATAAAATGAAATTAGACCATGTGTTCACTGGCATTCACTTTCAGAAACAGCAGCTCCTGCTTGCTTTGACCGACAAATATGGCTACGAGTCCTGTGATAATAGGTGCTTTTATTGTGAAAGAAAATACTTTGCTGTTGTTTTAATTACTGTTTTTAGTGCAACCCTTTTTATAATATCAAAGCAACATTCTGTTGTAAGAGTTGGAATACTAATAATATTAATAATAATAACAACAATAATGCTAACAATAATAATGACAATACAACATCTCCACCCTGCCTTTAAGTAGCTCTTTCGTCCTGTTTTCCCTGATGGAGGGAAGCGGAGCACCTGCTGAGGACATCCTCTTCCGGCGTCCCTGGCTTCCCGTGAGCATCAGTGGGTGCCAGCTCCTGGCCAAGAGCTGGTTCGGTGAGACGGCGTACCATATCCTGCTCACCGACATGCACTGTGTGTGGGAGGAGAGGATGGACACAGCAGTCATCCAGAGCAGAGCACAGGTATGCACAAATGTGAACAGATAACCTGCGAGGCCTTGTGGAATTTACTTAGCAGGAAATCTTTATTCTTACTGTTCTTAAAAGCCAGATGAGCAAAAACCCGTGTTTGATAAATACATTCTTGTTCTCCATCATCAGGAGCTTAACAGGCGTTTGCGAGCCCCAGTCAAAGCCTTCTTCACTCACCTGTGTGAGGTGGTTAAGCCCTGCCTGGCGGGAGTCGGCAGCCAGACTGAAAACGAGGTTCAGATCTCTCTGACGAGACAGGAAGACGGTAGCATCAACATGAGGCTGAAGAGCGAGCTGGCAGGACTCCCTTTCTACTGGGAGTTTCACTGCACCCCTGCCCCAGTAGCTTTGGTACGTCCTTACCTTTCAGATTTCTTTTTTAAACCCTAATCGTGGCGGCTGGGTTGTCTGACTGTTTTGTGTGTTTCTTCAGGTGTGCATTCAGCTGGTGCGCCCCCTGCTGACGATGAGTCGCCTGCTGCAGCGGCAGGTGGAGCAGCTGGGAGGTCTGCTGGTGAGGAAGGACGCTGAGATCCAGGACTACAGAGAGAATGGAGCCACGCTCAGCAGAGGTACAGAGGCTGTTTGTAAGGTCGCAGCATTTCCAGCAGCACTTCCTTGTCTGTTGTAATGGGACTGTGATATGCACCTGGTGAAAGCTGGAGGAATCCACCATCACATTACCCACTGGTTTTTGGGCTGGTGTGTTGAAGTCGGAAGCAAACATATTGGTTAGCAAGCTGCGCTGTAATTAATCTAACAACATCTAAGCAAAATGCAGAAACAGTGTGTGGACAAACTAAATACGCAGATGGGGGCAGTGTCCAAATTATGGGGTGCAGCCAGTGTGTGGGCCTCACTTGTACTGTGTTGGCCCAAGAGCTGAAGTGAAACAGAATGTTAAAAAAGAATGAAAGGTGTCCACTGCAGTTCCTGGTGAACTCTCAAATTGAGAAATGTTTGCACCCTTTCCTTTTCCAGCTCATTTGTCAACCAATCAACATTCAGTGTATGCGCAGTTTAACAGCATACTATTGGGTTTTTACAGGTGCGTGTTTGCGTAACCCGGCTTGCAGACAAAACAAGTATACGTAACAGCCAGGTGCTGCTAATCAAATGCATTTGATTCATTGCTCATTAGCGAGTGTGAGCACCTGTAAAGAAGCAATAGCAGGAACAGTAAG